GATTTGTCTAAAGTTAGAAAAATAATATAAATGAAAGATAAAAGCCATATTCTTAGCAAAAATAAACATTTCAAAAAGATAAATAACTTTTCATTTGTCTGCAGTGATGTTTTCCTTAGAAATTCCTTCTCTGGATTTATATCTCAATGCTGTCCCAGATGTTTCTCACAGGATAGCCATTCATTAGTGTCTTAATGCTACTTATTCTGTGAACATTCAGTCAGCCACATTTATCACCCCTAGAAAAATATGTACAGCTTTATAATTCATGAATTTTCACAGTTTTCTCTATTAAAGTTGCAGAGTATAATTTAAAACCGGGAGTTTCACTTTATATATTTTTTAATCTCCCAGAGACCGAAGCTTTCCAATAGCAAGCACTGATAGTTACTTGTTAAATTAGATGTTAAATAGTGTCCTCAGTAAATAAAATTAACAATAATAAAGTTCTGATCTAACAACACTATTTAGGGTAGATAGAGAAATAGATATTATAAGAGATTAAAATAAAGTTGACTTTTAAGATCTGAAACTCCAACATGTTGCTAGATATTCTTAATAATTTATTATTTTCTCTAGGTCATTTGAGTTTACTTTGCAATGGTCTACCTACCTATTTATTAGAATGGGGAGGTGTGTTCTAGAACATGACTCCTTTGGTGTGACTCAGCCTCTGCTACCTACTAGGATGTTACCTTGAACATTTTTTTTTTGTCCCTATGCACCTCAGTTTCCTCATCTGTAAACTAATAATTATAAGTAAATCATAGAGTAGTTTTCTGGAGTTTGAAGAAATAATTAGTGACTCTCTTGATTTCTAACACGAGTTGGAAACTACTGAAATCCAAAGAAGTCAGGCAGATAGAGATCTAAGTATCAGGCAGGACCATGTAGCTTTGGCGTCTGGCAACAGTGGGCTTCTTAAATCTTCCCCCAAGATCCATGACCAGGGGCCATGCGGGGCAACCACAGGACTTGCTCTGTAGGGCTGAGCTCAGCTCATGGCTTGGCACAGACCAGAGAAAGCCCAAAGAGGCTGAAAAGGTAGAGTCAGGGTTGATGGACAATGCCCCCAGCTCTTCCCAGGGAAGGAGGGGCTTCAGATGCAAATACAATACAAGGAGGTCCCTACGAGATGTTGTGAAGACTTCATGAGTTAAGACATGAAAAATGCTAAGAATAATACTCTATAATTTTAGACATTATCATTTTGGGAGTCTTTTTTACCCTTGCAGAAGATAAAAAAGGAAAAAGGCAAAGAGGAAAACCTTAGATTAAGTTTCCTTTTTGAAGTATGAACATGGGATTTATTCTCTAAATGAAACTATAGAACTTTTTGTTCATTGATTCCTTTTGGGACTACAATTTATTCGTTTTAGTTTCCGTCGTCACAGATTATTGAATATTGCTTATGACAAATGGTATTATGGTAAATATCTTTAGTGACATTGTTATTTTAAAATATCTTAAATAAATACTTTTGAAACTCCCAGATGGCATGAGATTTGGCAGTTGGTGGCATTTCCTAGGCTTACCAGATGGAGTTGTGCCGACCCAAAAATCAATTGACATTTTTTCCATCAAGCTGCTCTTCTAATGTTTCAAAAGTTTCTGAAGAAGTGAACTTTAATTAATCAAATTTGCTCTCATTGGTGACTTTGTACTGAGAAGAATAGAGCTTCTAAAAGAAAGTCATGAGAATACAGATTATACGATGTTTCTCCATAAACTAATCTAGTTAAATTGCAGCACTCTCTTCCTCAAGATTTTATCTGCTAAACCAAAATGCACAACAAGAATTGAGAAAGAGTTTATTGTAACAAAGAATTATTAATTACAGGAATATAAGGTGCACTACGAGGTGCTGAGAGGGAGACCCTGTCTTCCTAGCTGTCACGATTTAGTAGGAGAGCTAAGGCATGGATAAAACCAACCAGAATTTAGTGCAAGTGCAGGGGAGGAAAAACTGCTCCTCTATCCTCTGGGTCCTTCTGGCTGGTACATAAGACAGAATAACAGGAGAAAATCAAACAAAGTTTAATAGTATGTGTACATGAGAGAAACCCAGGAAACTGAGGAACTTGCCAAAATGGTGAAAGCTACCAAGTTAAAGACAAAGCAGGATGTTGGGGAAAGTGATTTGGGACTTCAAAGGGGAGGAAGGCAATTCATATGGAGATGGAAAGGCAAATGTTTGGTAAACAAATGTTGACCATGCCTTGTAAAGACAATGAAAGGGGGCTGGCCCAGTGCATAGTGGCTAAGTTCACAAGCTCCACTTCAGAGGCCCGGGATTTGCTGATCCGATCCTGGGCATGGACCTGCACAGAGCTCATCAAGCCATGGTGTGGTGGCATTCTTCATAGAAGAACTAGAGGCCTTATAACTACAATATACAACTATGTACAGGGACTTTTTGGGGAGGAAAAATAAAAAAGGAGGAAGATTGGCAAGAGACGTTAGCTCAGGGCCAGTCTTCCTCATGAAAAAAAAATACAATGAGAGATGGAGAGAGTTTTGATTAAATGGTTCTTGCTAGGTTCCTCCCTGTTTGTTACCACACAAAGGGCACGATCTGCTCGCTGCAAGACAAAAGCCAATCGTCAAGAGGCAAGATGGTGGCAGAGAAAGGGCATTTTATTACAGCTTGCTAGCAAGAGGGAAGATGGCCGACTCATGTCCAAAAGAACTCTCTTAAGAGGGGCACAGAATCTTGAAGCAGTTATATAGGCCAGTGGGTTGTGGGGAGGGGTTAGGAATGTTGACCCAAGAGTCACCACAGCAGTTCTTTCTGTTTTCATTGATGATGGCTATCAGCATAGATGCTCTGTTTGGGGGTCATCACCTTCCTAAGGAACTCAAAAGAATGAAGTTATCATCTTATCGCAGCTGGGAGGTATACGCACTAGCAGGGGTCATAAAATCTACAAAGCAGGTAGATCTCCTGGAGGGTGCATATCCAGCTGGGTTAGTTAGTTTGTCAGAGGTCATTCAAAGTTACAACATGGTTTCTTTTCTACAAAATGGCTTCCCTTATGTCAACCTTGTGTTGAGCCGGTCTCATGTCTACCACACCTAGTTCATATTATACTATAGTTATGTAGGGTGATGGTTCCTTGCTGAAACAGGCTTCTATCTTAAATTATTTTAGGCAGTTAGGGAGAAGGTCAGAGTTTCTTCGTGAGTCTTTTGTTCTTGAAAATAATCAAGCCTTGGGGCTGGCTCAGTGGCATAGTGGTTACGTTCCCACACTCTGCTTTGGCAGCCCAGGGTTCACAGGTTTGGATCCCAGACGCAGACCTGCACACTGCTTATCAAGCCACACTGTGTTGGCATCCCACGTATAATAGGAAAATTGGCACAGATGCTAGCTCAGTGACAATATTCCTCAAGCAAAAAAAAAAAAAGAGGAAGATTGGCAACAGGTGTTAGCTCAGGGCCAGTTGTCCTCACACACACACAAGATAATAATCAAGCCAAAGAGACACATCCTGGGGTGGCAAATTCTGATCCCCCACACATGACACACCTGATGATATAGTTTTCCAAGGCTTTGATTAGGTAAGGCTCAAATATTAGTCTATTCAGGTAACCAAGAGAGCATACGCTTTTTATAGGTAACTCTGAAAGAAAGTATTTTGAAGAATCTTTTAGCATCTCAACTGGGATGGTGACTGAAGCTCCGTGGAGACAGACCTGAGGGTCAGGTAATCAGGAAGGCCCCACCACAGGCTGGAGAACAGACCCCTTCAGGCTGCGAAGATGCCAGGCAGGCCCCTCTCCCTGGAAGGAGGGAGAGCTTCTGGCAAAATGTCAATGGGCATTAGAGGGTTAGAGCGGAGGGAAGTTCTAAAGTTGTGGGCAGTGCTGGAGCTCGGGGGCGGAGCTCTCATCTCAGAGGAAGTGTTTTCTTCTCTAAGGCACCAAATCAAGCGCTCAGGTGCATGGAGGTGGCAGAGCCCTCACTCCTGGAACTAACATCACACGGGAGTAAGATGAGCTGGAGAAGCTGATTTGTTTCTGAGCCACAAAGAGGATGTTTATATCCTGCATCTTTTCAGTCAGTTCTAGTGTCTGAGTTCAGGGTATGGGTTCAGCCTAGTGGTAGGAATTTTAAGTGGCCAGAACTGAGTTTAAAGATATATTGTGTGGAGAGCAAACCTGATTGTCACATGAAGTGTCTGCCACAGAGAATCTCAAAATATTTGAACTGGAACAGCAGCCAAGGATGTATAGTACCAGCTAAAGAGAAGATCATCAACAGTAACGATAAAAAGGCATTCGCTGTGGTGTTATCTTGTCCCTTTTTTCTGGGGGGAAAAAAATCTGTGTGCATGCATGTGTGTGTGTGTGTGTGTGTGTGTGTGTCTTGGGGGCAGAGGTGAATGAGAAGACAGTTAATGCAAAGCTATGAACATGTGGAAATTCTCAGGATCCTTTTAGAACAGCACTATCAATTGAGCCTTGGCCTAAATTCATTATGGTGAAATGTTAGTTCAATTAAAGTAATTTCCTCTTCCCAGAAGTTCATTGTAGCAAGATTTGACATTTAAAATTGCATCCTATGGGAATATGAGAGCTGTAGGAGATCAAAGAGCTCACTTTATGGACAATAAGCGCATCAGGTGAAGTTTTTGCGAATCAGCACATTCATCTTAGAAATTTCCATTTCACTGTTATCCAGAAAGTAACCTTGTAACTTCTTAAATCAGCTTTATGAGTTTCTCTTCTATGCTGTTTCATGATTGTAAAGAGAAAAAGTCTAATAAATTACTGAATTTTTTTTTCTTACAGTGCTAAAATGTTGGTTAAAATATTTTTTGGAAAATAGAGTTTCGTTTTCCTTGTGTTGTACAGAACAGCTTATGTGGTGCTGCCTGCTGTTGCAATTGCATGTACTTTTATGCCTAAGGCTAGGAATCACTCACTCGTAAATATGTTGTTATAAAAAATACCATATTGGATTGTTAGTGTAATGCAAATGTTTTTTTGAAATGTAGGTTGTTTTCCAGTCTCAGTATTATCACAGAGCTTACTCACCCAGCCAACATGAGATTCATGCAATTCAGAGCCAAAGACTGTTACTCTCTTGCTCTTTCAAAACTGGAAAAGGTAAGACTCCCCGTTATTATGTAAGTTGCATTAAACTATTTTGCTTGAAAGAAATTTCTAGAAATTTCTGGAAAGAAATGCCATGCGATAGCCAGAAATAAAAATGCTGCTTTGAATTTCTATTTGGAGGCTAAAATCTTAATTTATAATTTTTTAAACAATGTGAATTGATGGATTTGAATCATTTATATCACAAGTAAACTTAATGGGGATACCTTGCCCTATCGTCATTAATTGTAAATTGAAAGCATGACTTATGAAAGAATTAAATGCAATGGGAATGTATATACTCAGTTATAATGTCAGTTATATTGATAATATCATGAGTGCTATGTCAAGTAATCTATACTTATATAGGGCTTTGCAGTATTCAGAAATCCTTAAGGTCTTAGAAAAGTTGTAGGCTTTGTTGAAAGTTATTCTCTCAAATGGCGCCAACACAATCTGAGACCAAGTTGAGTTTACTGCTTACCTAGGTAAGGGAGACTATCACCCAGGAAAGCTTTGGCAATGCCTCAGAGTGGGGAAAACAAGGTCAAAGTTTATCGAGATTTGGAAATTTTATTTAATGAGAGTCTTTCAAAGCATGGACTTAATTAGGATCAGGAAGGGATCAGGATAAAGCTAATGGAGACAGTGGAATTGCAAAGTCATGTTACGTGGACAGAAAGATATGGTTTCCATTCTTTGTCCAGACTGAGTGTGGGGGTAAGTGGTTTTGCATTCAGCATTTACCTGATATTAGCATACTGGGAGAATTTGATATAAGAGAGGAAAATAAAATTCAATCTTGTACATAGGAAAATGTGTTAAATCTATGCTATCTTCCTTGTTTATAACGATATAAGACATGAGACAATGGTGCCTTACATTTTTTTGGTTAGTTCTTTCTTTCACTTAATTTTATTTTGATTACCAGATACTGCCAGATACTGTCCTAATTCCTGGGAGACATATTGTTGAGTAAGGTCATTTCTGCACTCTTGTCTGTTGAATTCCAAATTCTAACTGGTCACATATATTGTGTTGGTAGAGTGTCCCCACTGCTCCTTTATAGTCTACTTCGGTTATTGTTAGGCACTGCTTCTAGATGAGGAAACCGAGTTTAAGACAGGTTAAATAGGTGCCAGCCCTGTGGCCAAGTGGTTAAACTTCTGCATGCTCCACTTTGGCGGCTCAAGTTTCACGGGTTAAGATCCCGAGTTTGGATCCCCGGTGTGGAGGCACTCTACTTATCAGCCATGCTGTGGAGGCATCCCCCATACAAAGAAGAGGAAGACTGGCACAGATGTTAGCTGAGAGCTAATCTTCCTCAAGCAAAAGAAAGGGGAGGATTGGCAATGGATGTTAGCTCAGGGCAAATCTTCCCCACAAGAAAAAAAGAAAAAAGACAGGTTAAATAACTTTCCAAGATTATAAGCTATCAAGTCACTGCAGTAGCAGAAACTTAAAGCTTTTAATGCTCAAGACAGAAAATTTCCATTATGCCATACTGCTTTGACTACATAGAAAGGGTGGCAAGCACAGCTAAACTGACTCAGCGTCCACAGGCAAATCCAGCAATTAGGAATCAAGCTGGAATTGGTACTGGTGTGGTGTAGCGTGGCCTCCTTCATGACAAGTGAGGGAGGATCACCTAATGATGGAGAATACAGGCTCTGGAGTCAGACTGGTCCATTTGTCCACTACTTTCTAGGAACGGAACCTGGATAAGTTATTTACGCTTTCATAGCCTTGGAAGTCTCCTCGGGAAACAGTAGTAATAGCTAAATAACAGGATCATTGCAAACATTATACTACACAATCTATCCAAAACATGTAGCCCACTTTTGGCATATACTCAGTGCTCAAGTAAATGATACTGAAAGCATAATTATAGATTATTATTGTTGATATTGTCACTAATAAATATTGCGTTCTGTGTATTCAATTTTATGCCAAGTCAGTTGAGGTAGCAAGGTCATAATTGTGGGAGGTATTTTCAATCTTGGTGAGTGTGTGTCTATATTGTGTACTTGTTGCATTAGAGGAAAACAACAGAATGAGCTTTTGATCTTTGCTGGGGAAGTAAATAAAAATAAAATCTTCTGCCAACCTAGAAATCCTCTCCACAAACAGAAAAGTTTCCTTCGAATAGGCATTAAACCACACTGTGATGGGCCTCTCAGGCAATCCGCTAAAGAGACTGCAGAGACAGAAAGACATCTCATCCTTTTATGTAGCCAGGCAGATACGATCGTTTACATGCATGTTAATTGTCTCGATCCAAAGGAAAAATGAAACTTCTTGTATCTTTGTGGCACGCAAGAAGTTACAGCATGGAGGCAGGCACCTAGGCTCAATTCCCAAAGAGAGAGAGACAGGAAGCTTTATGTTCACATTTCAAAAAGATCGTTCCAAGGCCCCCAAGAAAGACATTCCTGGGATACAAAACTGGCTAGAGGTTATTCAGGTTTTCAAAAATTTTGCATGCTTCTCAGAGAGACAGAGAAATGACTTACAATTGCAAGTTGTCCAAAGGAAATGCTCTAGGGAAAAGAGAGGGGAAGAGCAAGTTTTCTTTCATTTTTGACATCAGGGAAATTCATTTATTTTTTTCAATTTACATTTACCCTTATATCTTCTAGATGTTTCCCTAGAAGAATAAAGGAATTTAATACATTTCCTAATTATTCAGGAATAGAGGAATTAGGGGAAGTGGTATTGAAACCAATTGTTTGGATGTTATAAAGCCATGGAAAATTCTTTTTGATTCACTTATTATCATTTTATCCACTGAAATAGGGATTTTTGTCACATAGAAATCTTTTAGACTTCTATGCTGTAATAGGTTGAACTGTGTCCCTCCTCTGAAAAAAAAAGATGTGTTGGAATCCCAACTTTCAGTATCTCAGAATGTCAACTTATTTGAAGATAGGCTTTTTATAGAGGTAATCAAGTTAAAGAAGGCTATTAGGGTGGGTCCTAATCTCATATAACTGATGTAGGGACAGAAAAATTTTCCCTTCTTCCCTTCTAGGTTCTTTGGCTTAATAATTAAATTGACATAAGGCAGATTAATAGGAGAAAAGTAAATTTAATTTCATCTGTACAAGAGCCTCATAAAATGAGACCCAAAGGGCAGCCAGGTAACTGAAGCTTGTATAACATCTTGAGCTAAGGAAAGGCTTAGGGACCTGGGGATACAAAGTGGAGGAAGGCCCTTCACAGGAAGACAGAGGAGATGTTTGGAAAACAAAGCTTGACCTGTTATGCCGGTGAGTTTCTTAGGAAAAAGTTATCTTCTGGTAATAGCTCTTTCTGGTACAGGCAATTGAGGGGCAGGTGAAGAGGTTTTCCTGAATCTGCTAGGTTTTAATTGCCTTCATCTCAAAATAATCCGCATGTCAAAGTAGCATATTTTGGGGAGACTTGCTCTGAACACCTTTGCTGATATCCTTAGATAAACAGTAAACTTGGAAACAGACAGACACACATGTGAAGAGAAACGGAGAGAAGACAGCCATCCATAAGCCAAGGAGAGAGGCTGGGACAGATCGTTCCCTTATAGTCCTCAGAAGGAAGCAACCCTGTTGACACCTTGATTTTAGACTTCCGCATCCGGAACTGGGAGAGGCAATAAATTTCTGCTATTTAAGCCACACAGTTTGTGATACTTTATTGCAGTCCTAGCAAACTGTTACATGTGCCATCAATGACATGGTAACTGTTCATTTCTAACTAGTACTTTTTATCACTGATATAAATACAGCTAACTTACTGTTGAAAGTAATTATCTTTTTATATTTGTCTTCTGGATACAAAGAGGTATTTTCAGGTTTAGGAAACAGATCTTTATTTCCAGTATTTTAAATACATTCCCAGTAACATTTTATAGAGTTATTGTTGGCTGAGGAATAGGTGGATTTTTATTTTTCTGAACATAATTATGAATATCATTTGATTCTATTTATAATTAGATGTGCCTGTACTTTCGCAGATGAGGACTTCACCTCTAGAAACACAATCAAGGTTATGGATTAGAAAGAAATACCAGCTTGGCTGCTTAACACACATTTTTGTTACTAAGTGGTTCTCAAATTTAAGCAGTGATAGAATTTGCAAGGATGTGTGTGAAAGGTTAGACTGAATTGACCTTGGTCACTTTACTTGTGTGTTGATTACATTTTGATGTTTCCTGGTAGGCTTTGGGTCCTAATAGATAGCTGGTTGCCCTTGGTAACATTCTGCAAGGATGCTCTGAAAGAGGCTACTCCCTGAAGATAATAACTTCCATTAGGGAAAGGAAAGCATGGAAAACACAGAAGGATCACTGGTCCGTGGCAATGATGGGAACAATGATTGCGAGGAGCCCCCTCTGCTCTTGTGAAAAGGAAGTTTCTTGATCAGTCCTTGATTATTTTTTTAGATTTACAATCTGGAGGAATTCTCTTGCCCGTTGTTTTGTGTGGCCCTTGTCTCTCACCTTAAGCTTCCTCCTTACGCATTATTATCCATGTCACTTTAGGAGTACGTTCTGCTTTTTTTTTTTTTTAATACTCCTGCAAAGCACTCTATTTTATTTTATTTCTTTTGTATGATTTTTTGGGGGGTGGGGTGAGGAAGATTGGCCCTGAACTAACATCTGTTGCCAATCTTCCTCTTTTTTTCCTCCCCAAAGCCCCAGTACATAGTGGTATGTCTTAGTTGTAGGTCATTCTAGTTCTTCTATGTGGGATGCTTCCACAGCATGGCTGTTGAGTGGTGCATATGTCTGTGCCCAGGATCTGAACCAATGAACCCTGGGCTCCCGAAGCAGAGCGCGTGAACTTAGCCACTTAGCCGTGGGGCTGACCCCTGGCGGAACATACTTCTTGCAGTCTGTGCAGCTTTTGTAACCTGCTTCTTGTTTATGCAAGTTTGAAACAAATATAAAGATTTTTAAGTTTATAAAAGCATTTTTTTAGACTTTTAAAGTCTAAAGATTTTCAGAATAGACTGCTAATTTCTCTCAAAAACTG